ATGGTTGGACTTGATGATCTTGAAGGTCCTACCTAGTGATTCTGTGATTTATGCTCAATGTCACTATTAGCTTAAACAGAATATGAATTTCTATTCTCTTCATCAGTTTTATGTGTTTTCTGCAATGACGTAATAAAATAGCACTGACCTGAATTAACTGCCACAGAGCCTTTACCATTTTTCATATCTACTATCCAAGTTGCTTCTTTCCCACCGGGACCATCTGTTATATTGAAGGCAAAGACTCCACCAATTTTCTTGACAAATTGCTCTCCTTCCTGTAATGACCATGTAATGCGCAAATTATTCATTTACTTCAAAGTAATTTTAAAATAGTTTGAGTTAAACAGAAAGTAATTGTAAAACCTTTACCCTTTCTACTCACATAGAAATATCTATTTCCCTCTATTAGGCTTCATTTAAACAACCATTTAACACCCCCCCCTCACCCTACAGGCTATAATTTTATAATTATAAATTTATTAAAAATCTATGAACTAAGAAGAATGATTACTGTCCTAACAGTCTTGTCTTAATGCAAGTCTGACAAAATGTGATTTCTTCTAATCACACTTACAAAGCAAGCAACAAACACAAACTTGAAGTTTCCTGTGTTAGTTAGCAAGCTCCTCGCATACAATCTAAACTTGCCTTTACTGAAACCCTTATGCAGGTAGGAACTATCTGAAAAAAAAATAATTTAAAATCATGGCACAGCACAGAAAGATTTCTGACATAGTAAAATTCAAAGCTGTAACATTTGTTTCAATGAGCAGTACTGAGGAAGTGACTGATGCTACTATATTCCCATCAGGTTTCACACATGTTCTGTCATAAATTAAAATCCTGTTGTAGGTAAAGGAAGTATTCATATACCTCTTGGAGCTTCTTTTCAATCTCTTTGAAAACCACATGTGACTTAAATCCATCAACAGCTGCGCTGAGAGGCACAGCCGCAATAGGGCCGGTGCTGAAATGAAAAACCCATTCATTTACATACCTTTAATCACATTTACATAATCTTCAAATTATCATGAATAGGCCTACCACCAGCGAGAACAGACACACTGAAACACTTCTGCAGTATAGAGCAACTATATGATATCAAAGTGAAGCCTACTCTCTGCTGGACTTGACAGCTTGAATTACAATCACTTCAAGTATCTAGACATTTTTGCATGTATGGACAGAACACTGACTTTATAATCAAAGTAATCTTGTTAAGATAAAATCAGCAAACACTATTGCCACACCTTGTGTGAAGAGAAAGCAGCACATGCACCATCTCAGAGAACTACCTTTTTTTGGTTTTTTTTGGCAAAACAAATTCCCTTACAAAATGGCTCCGAAAGTTTAGTTGTTGCACTTCCAGAAGTGGTCCTAGTTTCTGCCATGTTGCTTAACAACAATTTCTAGTAAAAATAATTTCTAGCTTGCATTTGCAGTAAAAGCTATGAAGGCTCACCAACCCACTACAACAAATATGTAGAAAAAAATACTCTCAAACAAGAAGTCTTTTTTTTTTTTTTTT